AAAATGCGACAGTATAAAAAAGAAATTCAAAAGTCCCAAAAGTTTTAATTGAAGTTTGAATCAAATTCATCTAGTCTATGTTTGAGATCTGAGTCGATTGTAGAGGATATTTTGCTGGTATCGTCTATACCCTCAAATGTGCCATCTGCTGTAAGTTGGGGTGAGGGAATGGATCCGAATGATGAATTTATGGTTGGCTCGACCCGATGGAATGGATTTTTGTGAGGACCAAGATAGTGTAGTTTCGGCGACGAGGGTGGTTTTAGGAGGTACCTCCGCAAGTGAGGTTAAGAAATCCGAAGGTGAGAGAACAGGGAAGTTTGCCCTCGGGAAGTAGCTGGGTCGTCCTCTAACGTGATCACTTCTGTTGACCGGTTCTTCTTCTTCGAGGTCGTTATCAATATACCTTCGCTCGCCGAAGTCTGGACGGCCTTGGTTGATACCACGCTGAGGAAGGTTCTTCAAGAGTAGTGTCTATAAGTATCGAGTTCTTTTCTGAGCCATCTCTCATTACCGATTCGGAACGTCAACGTCTACCAGGTGTTATGCGGATCCAGGAGAGTGAGAGGTCGTTGTGAGTGTAAGGTTGTCACCTGTAATACTTAACTCAAGGTTAGATCCCGACCCAGCTTGCTGGCTAAACGGTAAACTATTATATGACATTTCGTCGAAGTAGTCCTCTATTGTTCCATCCCAAGAAATTAGATTTAAAGACAAGGAAACTGAGGTATTTCAAGGAAACTAAAATGACAAGGAAACTGAGGTATTTCGCGGTGAATTGTGTGCAGCTGTTAGATTTATCGGTAGCCCGGAATTTCGTGTATGAGTGTCCACCCTTGTTGTGCTCTGCCTTAGATGGTTTTGGTCTCTTCCAATGGCCTTCTTCGGTGGCGATAACTTTCTCTTTACTGTTAAACTCGAAGATAAGGTTAGGTTATGCTCAATGGGTGTATGGTTCACGACGATTTTCGTGTCACCGGTGAGCAGTTTTCCTCTGAAATCTTAGTCCGATTTGCGTGAAATGTGGCCGCTGTCAAGCGCTATGTTAAATTGTAGTCAGAAGAATTAATGACATTATCCTTCACCAGATTAAAATAGGGTTTCCCGTTTTTTCTGTTGGCCGCCCTTCTATAAAATTCATCTCCTGAGGCTAAATTTTCAATAGGTCTGCTGACTTTGCCCAGGTTGTGTGTTTCTGTCATAGGGGTCCTTGGTTGTGTGAGAGCTAGCGGCATGTTGTCCTCTGAATCGGTTTGAGTCTCCATGTCGGCGTCCAGGTAGCCGTCTTCCGCACCGTCATGCAGTTCCCAATTTCTAGCCCAATGGTCAGATAGAATAGGATTTCTTTTATCTGAACGGTAATCAAAGAAAATCAAATTTTTCTATCTGGTGTTAGCAGTTCTATTAAAATGCTTCTCGAAGAGAGTAGAACCGATTGTCATTTGTTTTGTAATTCTGAGGTTCCGAATAAACTCTTCGATCGAAGAATTTACAGAAGGTTTTGGTAATTTGAATGACATGGCTAATAGTTTAATTTTACAGTCTATACAGGTCTTTCTACAAACCAATTGGATCTATGATCACCAATTGTGCAGTAAATGGTTTCGATGTTGAATTTTTCAGAAAAGGATTTGAAATCGTGGGATAAAAAAATACGACACATGGTCGACTCTAATCTTCCTTGGAAATCCGTGAAGGTGACAATAATCGTTCAAAACGAAAATAACAGAATTTGAGGTAGTATTGTTGACGAACTTCGCCGAAGGAAACTTTGTAAAAACGAGCAGTGCATAGAAGAAAACGCGTCCAACGGTCATGCGAAGTCCAAGTTTGTTTCCTCATTCGCGAACGACATCATTGGAAGCTTTGTGGTATGTTCCGTACGGAGTAAAGCTTGATTTTCTTACCGGCTTTTAGGCATTGAATTCATGTTTTCCCGTGATGGTGTATTTCTCGGTAGATATGCGGCCACCAGATTAATTCAGCTAGGAACTTCATCCCGAATGGGCCTGGATGTGTCTCGTGTAACAATGAGCTAAATTTTTCCCTGCTGCTGCTGGCACGACTAACTTATTGTCCAAAAATAATAGGTCGTCTTTCACGTGGAGGTCTTTTTCATAACTCTTCATGTAGCTTCCATGAATGCTCATTGGTTTTCCGTTTCTGTTGGTGTTGATGAAGTCCAAAATTACTTTGTCCTTCCTCGTCATTATCTATAGATAGTGCTCTTCAGGAAATGAAGAGGAACTTTGTAGCTACAAATCTGATTTAAATCTCCTCAGGAGGCTTACGTGATTGTCCGGGAGATGGTCTTCTTTGAATTTTACTTAGATGTTGTGATCATCTGGTATGATAACTAATGGGCCGGTATTTTCGTCCATTCTTTCTGTTCCGATGCATTTCTTCTTCTGTTGGGTTGGATTGCGTGATGAAATATGAAAGAAAGTAATGCTTCTTTGATTGTATTTAGAATTGTCTAAAGGTAAGCACTTTAAAGAACACTACAAAATTTATTTTTACACGGTTTAAACAAGCTCTGTTAAATAAAAATTTCCAAGTTTTGTCGACTGAAGCGACTACAGATTCGTCGTCGTAATAAGAAGGTGAGAGGGCTTTGCCCGAAATTAATCTAGATAAAAGATGGGTAAAACACATGGCCTTGCCTGGTATATGAGAAATTTTAAAGTTAAAAGGTAACAGTCTATTTACCCAGCGGTTTATTCTGCTATGCATGACTTTATTGCTTTGATTTGTGAAAGGGTCAAAACTAGAGCTTTATTTTATGTCGAATTGGCTGTTTTCTGTAATATTTAAAATTTCTAATTTCAACTTTTCAAAAGCTATCGAATGATTATTATCCCATTTATAGACCGATTTTTTGTTTAAAAGAGGACAAAGTGATGAGCTCAGGGTCGATAATTTTGGGACGAATTTTACGTACTGGTTTATAAAGCCGAAGAAAGATCGCAATTCCAAAATATTCTTGGAGATTGGGAGGTTTTTGATAGCGTCTGCTTTGCCCGAGAGTTTAAAACCTAACCAATCTATTTTCGACTGAAAGAATGAGCATTTTCCCCCTTTCACTGCCATTTTGTTCTTGTCCAGAAATTTTAGAATTTTATTTACAATAACTTTATGTTTATCTAGAGATCCCTTCGTTGCCACCAGGATGTCGCCTCTATAACAATTGTACAAGGTATGTTCTTTAAAAGTGAGTCCATGAGCCGTTGAATTTCGTTGGACATATCATCAAGTTCATTAAAACTGGTTAAAAATCGAACGTTCCCGTTGTTTCGCCGCCCACAAAACTGAAGTTACACTGCTTACTCGTTTTTTCGCACAGTTTGAGTTGTCTTTAACTGTTTTTTAAATCCAAATTGCTAAACCAAACCTGCCCAGTGGGGGTTTTCAAGAGAGAGTTGAATAGCCACCTTATCAATTTATTCATGGATGTGAGGCATTTGGTATTTAATTTTAAAAATTTGATCATTAAGCAATTTAGAATCTAACTTAATCGAGCCGTCCTTATTCTTGGTTTTAACAATTGGGCTTATAAAACAATCTTCATCGCACTTTCGAAATTATAATGTGGCCTTCGGTCTCCATTCTTCTTAATTCTTCATTTACTCTCGAGAGTAAGTGTAGGGGATTTCTTCTCCCTTTTGTCTGAACAGACTTAAAGGGGAATGGAAGTAAGCGACTTCGCGATTGTTCGGAATTTTTCCCACCTGTGTGAATAAATCTTTAATTTTTTTAAAAATTTTGGTCGGTTGGTAAGTAAGGTTTATTCCACTTACTCTCGAGTGATAGTTGGCTGACTGAACAAATTGTCATTTGTTCTGCTTCACTTCGATACCTAATTTTGGTAGATTATCGTTCCCCAGTATGTTGCGTTCGTGTCCCCATGTGATGAAGAAGGGCGTTTCTTCATTAATCCACCCGTTTGATTGAGTCCTGACGATAACCGTTCCAACGATGTTGATCGTGTCGTCTGTGAAGCCACAATTTTGATCCCTAATCCTCTTCTCCACCGGGTAAATTTTTAGGTTGGGACAACTTAGCTTAAGTTCGTGAAATAAATTTTGTTTTAACGAGCTAACTGGGCTCGCCGAATCTACAGGAATGTTCATGTTCACGATTGTTTCCTATCCCAAACCTATGTTTAAAAATTTCTTGATCTCGAGTCCGTTTTTGTCATAAATTGTTCTAACTTTCAACAACGAAAAATTGTCATCGCCGCTCTGTCCGTTCTCATTCCAGTTGTTTATCACTCCACACGTTTCCTGATTTTCGCTCCAAGAATTTTCCGGCGGGACGTATGTACAATTCTCGGTATTTACATGAAGGTCGTTTGTTGCGGGATTTGCAAAGTTTAGCAAAATAACTTTATAAATACAATTTTAACACGTGATGTCCTTTGCTGAGCAGACGTTCAGATATCCTTTCGTAAATGCATTTCCACATTTCATGCAAGAATTGCTTCTTTCTATGTTGAGGCTCGGTTTTTTCTTGATCTGACTATGAGTATTAAAAGATTTAAAAGTCAGCCCATTGCCCAATGTTCTGGCCATGTTTGTCAATGTCAATTTTTGATGGTTAGAAAGCCTTTTTTGTCAATTAAGGCCTGATTTAGCGGTTCCGACGGGCTTATCGCGGCTGAAAGGAGTTTCTGTTGGGTTTCCGTGTTCTTCATGTTGCAAATGAAGATATCTTTTATCCATTTGGCTTCATCGGTCTCCCTTATGCTGTATGTGCTCGTAAAGTCTGTCAGAGCGCCCCAAAACTGTTCTAACCATTCCCGATCCTTTTGCATGCGGCTTAACCTTTTTCATCTCTCGAAAGTTGTATAAGGAGGTTTATTAGAGGCGGTGTCTAGTAGTGTCGTAATTGAAAAAGCAAAAATTTTTACCTGAGCGTTTTTTGGGCAAAGACCCTTCTTCCTTCGCTGCCGAGTGCTGAAAACAAAATCGAGCGAAGCTTTTTGTCGGCTTCTGCCCGTCTCATCCCATTAATTTTTTCTTTTCTTCGTTGATCCGCTTTTCTTCGGCGGCTTCGTATACTTTCATAGCGTTGTTGTTCCTCGCTTCTCTACTGGCTCTGTCCGTGTTCAACTCGCTTTCTGTGGGTTTCTCCAGCATTGGAATTTGAGTTTCTGGTACCTCCGGTCCGTTGAGACTATCTATGTCCAGTTTTTTTTCGCAATTATCGCTAATTGGAATTGGTCGCTCCACTGAGTCCAGGAATGTGGTGGCTCTGAAGTACGATTCGGCCAGAATGAGGGAATTCCACGCACGTTCGACTCATTTCACTGCGCCATAAAAAAGTATTCTAACAACCTAGTTAGGTTTGTACATCTTTTGTACAATAACTTAAAAGAATATAAGAAGTAAATTGAAGTGTGAATTAAAACGTTCTATTCTAACACTAATACCAACTAGCTGTGATCGACCGATGGTCGAATCAAGCAAAGTGTTGACTGGTATCTATTCATTACCGAAGGTCATGATGAAAGAATCATAAAAACAAATCACAGCAACATTTCTATGCGCCTATTACTGAGCTGACGGCTTATCGCGAGGGTTTTAACCGTCTCGTTCAGAACTTCCAATTTTATGTCAGACCGAGTCTAGAGTCTTTTACATGAACTGGTGTTGCACTTAAAGTGCCACAGTCAGTTCCTTCCGTCATAGGTGTTTCAACAACCATCGCTTTATTTTTTTTCAATTGAAAAGTGTTGTCCTTATCAAGCTTCCCTACTGGTGTCTGATGCAGCTCCTTGATCACTTTGATCAGGTCGTCTGGCAGTTTTTATTTTGTCAGGGCACATTACAATACTTCCCTATCAACTGAGTCGAAAGCTTTCCTCAGATCTATGAAATTTATCACTAGTGGCTGGTTATTTTCCAACCGCCGTTGTAATAACGATCTTATGGCTGCCAGGATAGATTGATTTGGCCGTCAATAATTTGGAAATCTAAATTGAGAAGGTGATATCGTACTGACAGGTTTTTCACACCAGTTGGCAGTGACCCCCTTCTTGAAGAGGCTTAAAACCTTTGCATCCTTCGACGGTTGTTGAGTTTTGCCAGGATTCTCCCTCAAATAACTAAAGAGTCCGGAGAAAAAGTGGGGAAGACCTTCGGGTTTGAATGTGTTTTAATTTTTTGACGATTTGTTAATAGTTTTGTTTTAAGCAAAAACAGGTACCACAAAAAATCTCGTGAATGGGTTGAGTCATATACCATATTAAACTTTTTAAGTGGCGGTTTGAATGGAAAAATATCCAAAATTTTTCATTTCCGGGAAAAATTGGTTTGAAGTTTGTGATGTTGTTTCTAATTTCATCGATTATAATTAATTACAGTTTATACAAAAAACACTTAAAATCGATTAGAATTGATTATAATCTCTTATTTTGTCAAAATTTTGTAACAAGAAGAGTACAATTTAATTATTTCTCATGGGTTATTATATTTCCACTTAAATATTTCGCGTTACTCTTTCAGCATCAAAGTATGAAGCAAGACTGCTCGTAACAAAGCGAAGCCTTGAATGTTCCGACTGCCTTTTGAGGTCTATGGAGCAGTAACAAAAAGAAAATAAATGTAAAACAAAGTGGTTTTTGTGAACATCATCCCCCAACGCCAAATAAAATTCAAAGTTATAAGCTTTGCTCCATGTAACAAATTAATTATGGCAAATGAGCTTTGTTCGACCAAATTGAAACGATTTCTTAGACAGAGGAATTTTGTATTCGAAAAATGCATGTGTTTTGAAATCAAAACTTTGAAAGATCTAATCACCAAGAAATCAAATTTTGAAGGTTTGACTAGTTGATCACAAAAGGAGGGATACACCCCCAGTACCAGGCCAAGGCGGTACTAGGGAGCAGGGTGAGAAAGAAGGTTAAATTCTTTTGATATTTGCCGCAGTTACCTCCGAAAACATCAGCCCTCTACGGCCACGGGAACCTCAAAAAGTGTATGTTTTTTAGAAATTCAATTGAATTTGTTTTAAAATTGATAAAGTTTGATAAAATGAACAGAATTAGGAATGACTTAATTGCGCGAGGGAACACAAATATTTTAAAGTAGAATCTTTGTTAAAATTAATGCAAATGTTTTTCACTTTCTCATACAACTTCCTGTACTTTTTGCGACTGGGGTTGCTGTTTCCTCCCATTACTTTCAATATATTGGATGATTGATTTGCAGCATCCAACTTGATTTATTCCAGCAAAGTGTGAATGAATGGGTGGTTTCTTTTAAATAGAGTAGCAACGCCAAGATGCCAGCCTTCTACACCATTTGTTGTCCTTATTAATCCAGCAGCTGCTTCTTCGGAATGATTCCAAAGGTTTTCTGCAAAACGCGGTTCGCGAGAATCTCTTCCGATAGTTTTGTCGTTGATGTAGATGCGCTGGAAGTATGTGGTATGTGTCTACCTCATCAATTTTTTCAGTGATGTCGTCGCGAATCAAATTTTTCCGACATTTTTTCGCTTTCCTCCATAGCCAAGTCAAAAGCAGCATTGACCATTTCAACAGGTACAACACTTAGAGCTGGAATTAAGCGCTACGACAAATTTGTTTCGTGATTACTTTCATACAGGTGTTTTAGGTCCATTTCGTTTGTTTTTCGGTTGAACGCTTGACATAAATAAAAATAGCAACCTTTAAGCAACGCTCTAGTATAATGACTAGCGAAAGCATTTAGTGCTGCTCGTTCGAAGTCGAGAAGAACGCGGTGAGGCTCGGTGTTTTCGGTCATGGCTGATAATCCTCTCAGTAGTTTTTGCAGGTGTGCTCTCTTTTGTTTGGCAACAGTGCATAAAAGCAGGGGGTTAAAAACAAGCGAGTTGAATGTGGATGGTGTAAAGTTGATAAAATTGAATAGGGCAATTTTTGAATGTTTCATCACACAGCCAAACATCTCGATGTAATATCAAACTGTGGATATTGTCTTGATCTCAAAAGTCAACACTTTTTCTGGATCTTCGAAGCCGCTATCGAAGACGCAAAAATCCTCGCGTTGCTTTGGTACCTCAAAATGTCTGCCGACAATTGGAAGCACTGTGGGTCTCTCCTTTACCTTCTGTCGATTGAGGGCCCGATTAATCGCCGACGAGCAAGGAGAGCTAATTGAACGGCTTTTTCTTCGGACACAGACTGCAGGCCGTTTGCTATAATGATGCCATTGACTGGTACTAGCTGGATTTTTGTGCACTGTTTCAGTTTCTGCACGAGAAACCTTGCATCTGAACGACCAGGGAATACTTCGTAAGTGTGTTTATGTCTATAGGAAATAAGATCGTCATCTCGGGTTATTGCTGTCGTTTTGCATTTATGGCACCCCCATCTTGATTACTTCCAGTGAATATTTCCTTTCTTTGTTTCCTCTTTTTTGGTAAACCCCCGGCCACCGATAACAAGCGTTTTCTGATTCTTTTGGGATAGAAATTTACACTTGTTTTGATAAATGTTATTCCGAGGAAAATTGATATAATGACGTAGTTTTTGTTTCACTTCTGTACGTGATATTGGAAATTGGGGACTAAAACATGTTAATTGAGACAAATTTCAGATTTTGAGGCTTAAAATGCGATTTAAAATTCAGAACAACTTCCTTAAGTTTGGACTCAAACGAATTAACATGTGCTTTTATCTTTCCCATTCTAATTAGGACTTTGAAAGATTACATTAGTTATGCGAAATTGACACAGGTTAAACTGTAATATAGGGCAGATTAGTATAGTGTATATTAGAGTATAGGGTAGATTAGTATAGTTTAGATTGGTATGTAGGGTATAACGGCATAGGGTATAATGATATAGGGTAGTTTGGATAAGGGTAGATTATCCTGCCACCAAAATTTCGTCAAAATGGCAATTTTAAAAGTCGAAAATTGTCTGAATAAAAAAACGGACAGCCAAGCTAATATAGTGGTGTGCGTAAGTCTTCAAGAGTTTGAGTCCATAATTGAGCGTACATTCTTTCTGAAACTGGTCTTAGTGAAAAAAACTACCACACGCATAAATATTACTCACTTTCTTTGAAAGTCGAAACAATAATCTTGATAAAAATCAGAAACAGCAGATATCCGATAGACTCGAAGCTTCAATTCAATCCCCTTCGTATGAAAACGTGCTTTTGACACTTTTGTTCTCGTCCTATGGCAATGAAATTTGGAATGTGGAATAAGTGCTCAGCCGCAAGCATACCAAAACGGAGATATACGTTTTTTCTACCCCCTTATCTAACGCCATTCAGTAAACTATCATTCAACAAAAAATGGAAAGAAAGATACCTGAAAACTGGAGAGACTGGAACATAGTCAAAAAATTAAACATATTGAAGGTGTTAATTTGGCTTTTCTCCGCCTGCAAACTGAAACTTCGTGATTTGTTTTGCTATTTTTGAAGCTAAAACTGTAATAAAAAAGCATTGGTTTAGATTTAAGGGTTCTCTCATCAAGAAAGAGAGAAGAAATGAGTTTGGCTACTGAGCTTACTCGGAAAATTTTTTTTGTATTCATTATCATAAATAATTCATTAAGCAAGTTAGAGGGACAATGATATATAAAAGCAAATGCTATTTTACTAGTTGTGATATAAGTGTGATTAATAGGAGCTTACAACTCATATAAACAAATTTATAGTACTGACCAAATTGCTCAATCGCATTGATTATATACTGTTATTTTTCCAGTTTTCCTTTAATTTTACGGCTTCTCCATTCCCCCTCCTTTGAATTCTAATTTTGAAAAACTACTTCGGCTCTTTTTCTTCCTCCTCCCCCCCCCCCCCCTCCCCCACCCCTCCCGCCTCACATAAGCATCCATTTTCTGACGTAACGAGGGGTTTTACAAGATTAGATGTGAAACACAAATTTGTTTGTCATAGCCTAATTAGACCGCATGCCAAACTTTGCAACAATCGGACGTTGAGAACAGAGATAAATTACTAGTGAAAATGGCTCTTTTTCCTCAGTAATTTTACTTGTAAAAAACAGCAAGTGGGGGGGGGGAGGGGAGGGGGAAAGAGCTGTGAAAATTCGCTGGTGGGGAAAAGGAGGCTCTTTTTCCTTCCCCTTCCCCCACCTGCAGTTTTTTAGTAGTAGAGTTACTGTTCACATTTTCCGATGTTTATGAAAATTGACATGCGGACTAATTAGGCTCTGCCACACATATTTGGTCTTCATAATTAATCTTGTAAAACTACTCGTTACACCATAAAAATGATGGTCGTGTGAGGTTGGGGGGGTTAAAAGAGCCGAAAAGAAAAAAGAGTCACTACTTTAAAAAAGTCATAATGCAATAAAACTTTGAACTTTGACGTGTTTGGCCATAGCTACACGTAAAACGGCTATTTTTCCTCCTCCCCTCCCCCTCCTCCAAACCCCCCCCCCCCCCCCCCCCCTCACCTCATGGTCCAATTTTATGGTCCAACGAGGTTTTACAAGGTTGAATATGAAGACCAAATACGTTTGTCATGGCCTAATTTGTCTGAATGTCTATTTTAATGACAAACGGACAATGTGGACAGTAATTTTAATTATGAAATAGGCAGGTGGGGGAGGCAAAAGAGCCCGTCGGTAAAACAAAAACAAACAGAAAATTTGAAAATTGGAAAGCCAAATTTACAATTTAAAATTTGTAAAAGTCGAACAATAAAACGTTCATGCGGCCGGTAGTTTGCGTGTAAGAAACAATGTTCAGACGAAATTTGTTCGTAGTGACAAATTTTAGTTTTTACTTATTTCCGCACTAGTACCGGAGCTAAGAAATGGCAAAAATCGGTATGTAGGCGATGGGGCTGACTGGAAAAATAGTATCATTAATACGTATAAGGATCAGCATCGTGAGCGTAGCTCTCTTAGAATTAACCATTCCCCTCTGCAATTTTTGATCGCTCATTTGAAGTTCTTTTGTTTATAGTTTTCAGCTTTTAGCTTTTTTTCGTCGTCTCATTGCAGTGATAAAAGGGGAGTAGGTGAAAAAGAGCCATGATGATAACTATCTAGTGATAGCCCTCATACTTCGTCTCGTCAACCGTAACAGCTGTGCAAATAATAATGCAACAAATACAGCACATGATCAAGGTGAGAATGTACACGAGGACAATGACAGAAAATGCGAAGTAGTATGTCAGTTCGTCGCATGCCAGAGGGTCCTCTTCGATAGCATGCCAGTTCTCAAACACGTACACATTTCCCACTATAAACCAGGCGAGGAGAAACAACAGAATCAGTACAATGAACACCAGGGCACAAAGAGACACCCCTGGTTTGGCCTCGTACAGTTCAGTTTCGGTCGTGCGGCGACCCTGCAGCCTATTCTTTGCGTCCAGTTTTTTACTTCTTCGTCGACCACAAATCTGCAATACGAGCAGCACGAATAGGAATATCAACACTGCAATGCCGAACACGATTAACCAAATGGGAATCATTGACTCGACCGGACAGTCGTTGAAGCCGATTGCGCCAATGACAACGCATGCTAGAGGCACTATGTAAAACACGACAATGCACACTGTCATCATACTGGAGCCGAGGCACCAATTTGCACACTTGGCTGCTGTTGCCTTTTTCCTGCCACTTTTGAAATCTTGTTTGCTCAGTCTGGGTACACTTTTGGAACTTCTGGCTTCGTAATTTGGCGCTGATTTTGGTGCCGAAGGTGCGTAGCTTGGCGGAGCGTCTTCCTTTTTCGACCAAGTATCCATCGGCTCTGTGTTTCTAGCCACATCATCTGATTGTTCAATAGCGCCTATTGACCGGTTCTGTTTTTCGGAGGCTGCTCTCTTAGATTCGACGTCTGCGGCCTTAATTTCATCTTCCGCACCTTTGTCTTCAATGATTTCTGGTACCGTTTGTTTCTTTTGGTCACTCAATTTTGCAGAACTTTTATCCTCCATTGAAACTTTGCCAGGAGTTTCAAAGTCTTTAGTTTCCGCGGTTTCCGTCGCCCCATAATTTGGATTTTCTTTTCCTCTGCTCGCTAAAGAGGCGGGAACTTCCTTCTCCTTGGCTTCTGGCAAATTGCCGCTGGAGGAGTTTTTGTCAGACGATACCGCAGGATCGCTCATCTTTTTGGCCTCGTTGAATAATTTTTAATGTCACGTGCAAAATGTATACATGACAAGTAGTTACGTTAGTTTCACTTTTGTTTTCCCACAAGTTGACTTCTGATAACTAAAAGAATGGAAACCAATTCGTTTGCGCGCTTTTGTTTGTGAAAACAAAATAACTACGAACCAAAATTTCTAACTTTCCATATAACGTTTCCAGTGTGTTTGAGCAAATTTGAACTCAGAGGTGACGAAACTCAAAAACACAATGGCATTGGCTTTTTTCCACTTTTCCATACATTTGAATTTAAAAAATTAACGTTGTCATAGTGCAATGAAACTTTGTATGATGAATAAATCAACTAATTTAATCAAACTTTGTTTTTCACTTACCCCACATATGCATCAATTTTAAGGTGTAACTAGTGGTTCTACAGGTAACTAAACTAAATATGTTTGCAATACACTGGGCTACAACAAATAAGCAGACAGTTGATTTAAACGAGCAAGCGAACGTATCATCGGGCTCTTTTCCAGTAGCCCCTTGAATCTTTCTGAAATTCTAGTTACGAAAACCTAATTAAAATGACTTTTGATATTCATAACTGCAATAAAACGTGACACCGTAGACAAGTGAACAAATTTCACAACATTTCTATCTTCAACGTTTTTTTTCGTTCCATCAGTTATCTGATCAGTATACAGTATGGCTCTTTTGCACTTTCCCCCAAATAAGAATTTTTCCATTTTAATCATTGCTTTACATGTTGTAACGGCTAAATGCTCGAACCAGATCCAAACTAATATTTATCATTGGTTATTATTATGATATTTAATCTCTATAAAATATTCAATACTAACCAATCATACTCCATCAAACTAGCAACCCACTTATTTGTAAAAGTTGAAACTACTTGTACTTTCAACACCAGAATTAAACTTAGAAAACAGTTGTTCTCATTTTGGAACTAACTCGCGCAAACCGGTGTACACTAGATCTATTGAGACTAGGAGATATAAGATTAAGATTGGTATTAGACTAAGAAGTTGCATGAATCTATCCAGCCGAAAACAAGATATCGTGACGAGCAGACGGTGTACCTTATCTGAAATTACTCTGGATATGGTATAAATCACATAACTCATCTGGTGCGACCAAAAATCTTGAACAGACCTTAACTAACCTAGACTTAGACAAAAATTAGATTAGAACTAGACAACTGCAACATTTCAAAAACGTTTTATGACAAAAACTTAGTAGATATGTCTCTACGACTCAATAGATCAGATCCAATATTCCGAACAATACGAGAACTACCCGGTATTGGAAGAAGACCTCTAACAAGAAACGACATACGATTAGGAAGAACCCACCAATCAATTTCATGATAGTACGACAAAAACGAGGTCAAACTTTTGTATTTAGGATACTACCAGCAGTAAATTTAAATTTTCATTTACTGACATAATACTTTGAAGAAATATCTTCAATAAACTTTCAGGCCATAAACCTAATAATTGTACAATAACGACTGATAAAAACAACACTTGCCGTTTTCCTTAAATCAGCTGTAAAATAAATAACATCTTGAAAACATATTTTATTGAAAATAAAATGTAAAAGTTAGTTAGAAAAAATCATGCATCGTTAGTTTATATAATTCATCTCTTGATCCCAGCTTCATCGCCTAAAACATAACAGCAAATCTCAAAACTAACAATCATCAAAACCAAAACTTAACCCTAACCTTTTTTTTTTCAATAAACTATCAAGGCTTATCCTTGTTTTCACTTAAGTAATTTCATTTTCACTTACAGATCATCAAGGCTTCCCTTGGGTCCTTAAATTAAATTAAACTGTATCCAAATTTCTAAATTTCTCAATATCTAAACTTCTGATCATCAAGGCCTATCCTTGGATCAAATAGAACAATTTTGTTCTCCCCCTCCCAAATTAATCATTGTCTAACGACCTCAAACCTCGATTCTTTACCCAACCCTTATCAAAGACCCAGAAATAACAGAAAATTTTCAACAATCTAACCATTCTAATTAAGATAAACAGTGAAGAACTTCGGTTACTCATCCTTCACTTGATCCTCCTCCTCTTAGATGACTCAGGCTAAAACACTTAAACTTAGTAAGTCATAAAACAGTATCTAACGAACTACTCGCGTTCTAATTACACCTGAATCTTGTGGATCGATTTACTATTCTCCAACCCTTGATCACAAATCACAACCCCTAAGTAAGATTAAGTAGTTCAATTTTAGCTTAGAATTAGTCACGAGAAAGTACAAATCATTCTTCGGAATCGATATACGCTTTTCTCGCCAACCCAAATATATGACCCAAGTTAAGCTAACCACAAAAAATTGTAAGAACTAACAGTTTAAGGCATAAAAATCACTAATCTAGATTTTGCATCCATCATCCTAAACCTTATGTCAAAAGACGTTTTAGGAAACAAACAAACAATAATAATACACATTTGTTTAATTAACGACGACATATTCGACCTCGTAATCACACCACAAAGACAATCAGTAGGATGTATAAAAACAAAAAGACAAACACTAAGAAAATAATTAACAAACAGAAACTTATTATTAGGAAAAGATTTTCAAAACGAAGAAACGCTGTCTCAGAATCAGAAACAACCGCAATAAAAGAACTTCACAATTTAAAAGACTCAATAAACAAAAACCATCAAATTGACAATCAAATATATTTCAATGACTCAGAAACCACGTCACCAGCATCAATAAAAGGGAAACGTAGAATAAAAAATTGATACACAAACAAACCAATACGTTTGTACAATTGGAATCAACCAATGAGACACATTGAAAATTACTCGCTAACAATCATACAACACAAAAATGATTCGAAATGAAGATAACCCAAAAAATTCAGTACTTCCATTTTTAATACATACATTAACTGAAGCTCGAGGACAGGTACCATTTTGCCAAAATTTAACCGCAAATTTTTTCGAAAAAATAGAAAGTCCGTGCACAAGAGAATTTCCCGATGTAAAAAACAAAAGACAATTTCTTGACCACTATTTCAAAGGTATATGTAGTCTCACATCACAATATGGAATCTACAGAATAGAAATCAAATCACCAAACGATTTTCATGACAGATATCTCATTCAAACTGATGAAGTAGATATTGAATTTTCTAAAGTTTTAACACAATACATCAAAAGCATACAACACCAAAACTCAATAAGAACAAACACAATATTCACAAATGACGTATTCTCACTTATCTATATTAGAATTGGAGGAACCTCAAAGCGATTCACCAACTCAAACATCTCGACATACAATTGTACGACAAGAAATACACATATTTTCAAAAATTTTAAATGCAATCCGAAAAGATCTAATAATTAATGACATAACACAACATGTTAAACACGATTTACAAAAAATCTTAGCATGGTTCATAATCGATTATTTTAGTCTTAATTTTGATCGTATTGCACAAGCAAGAAAAAATTTCAGACCACAAAATACAGATGACAAAATCATATTAGTTAGCAGAATTATCATATTATGTTTGGGACCCTGAATGGTCTCATGAATCATTTATTATTATACCAACAGAACAGGAAATAAAAGTTTAAATTCTACATTTATTAAAAATGACAACTGGAACAAGAAATCTTACACAACAAGATATACAAACCTCATCACATTTTGTAAGCGAAGAAATAGTTACAATAACAACAACAGAAGCACAACGAATCATTCACCTATTCAACCCAATTTTACTACTACAACACTAAAAAACCCATTGCTACAACAAACAATTAAACAATCCACAGTAAAACCCTCTGTTGCACAAAAATATTCACAAATGGATTATCCAACGTTTCGACCAGTAACAAAACCATCATACAAACAACAAAAATCACATAGAAAAAAGTTTGCAGAACATAATTACAACTATGTCAAAGGACCAAAAACAACAAAAACTTCTGAAAGGAACACTCAAAATTAGTTACTTTCCCAAAGTCAAAATATACCACAAACGACTTCAAATTCAGTAAAATTTTGATTCTCACCACGATCCTCACAAGAACAAAGTGAAAAAAACCCATTTTTCCAACAAAATAAAAATAATACAAATATTTACCATACCAAAAATCAACCTCATTATTATACACTAAACTATTTTCCATCAGATGATGAAGAATACTATAATAAAAAACATCAACGAATTTATTCAAGCCAAAGTCTTCATTCTTACAGTATTGACCAACCAGATATTTTTGAACCATACACACGAAATGAACAAATACGACAACCTAGAAATAACCCAACATCTTACAACAATATTTTTCTTCAACAAAACCCAGTTAAAACACAATCATACCAACCAACTCAAATGCATAACGATATTCCACTGCCATATTATTAACAACAACATAAAATAACAAAAAGTCAACTTACAAATTTTCCTCAAATGCCACATGCCGCAGAATCACTGCAAATGACTATGAATCCATGCCTAATATGTGGATTGTCAATATCATCAAATAAACCACTTAAGGTTATTTACAGGTCAAGACACTCAATACTCTGTAGAAGATTATCTAAATGTAGTCATAGCAAAATTAAAACTAAATATAGGAACTGAACCAGTAAACACGCCACTTCGTCAAAATTGGATATTTAGACGCACAGCTTTAACCCAAACCACACTTGACGTCGCAGCCTAAAGATGGTTTTCAGTTTTACCTATAGAAAAAAATCGGATTGGAAAAGATTCACACAAGAGTTCTCAAAAAAGTTTGATTCCGAAAGAAACAAGCAACATCAAAGAATTTTATGCAATGAGATTCGTAGACTACCAAATGAAACAAATAAACAACTTGCAGTAAGAATAGAAACACTAGTCCGAAAGGCATACTCACTTTATACTCATGATTACAAAAATACAAAAATGTTGTAAATCTTAATGATGACTCTAACACCTCAATTGCGAGAAGTAGCAATAAAAAA